TATTCATAGCAGCACAATTTACAATAGCCAAGTGTTGAAAGCAACCTAAATGCCCATCAGTAGATGATTGGATAAAAAAATTATGGTACATATACACAATGGAATACTACGCAGCAGAAAGAAAAAAAGAACTACTAAACTTTGCGACAGCATGGATGGAACTGGAGAGCATTATGCTAAGCGAAATAAGCCAGGGGGCGAAAGACAAGTACCGTATGATCTCACCTATAAGTAGAACCTAACCAACAATGCAAAGATGCAAGGAAAATAAGACCAGCAACACTGAAAGGAAAAGAAACCAATAGAGACAAGAGGGAAGGAGGCGGGGCGTGGGGGAAAAGGAAGGGAAGGGGAAAGTCAAGGAACATATAGCAAGGACTCATGGACAAAACCAAAGGGGAAGAGCTGAGGGAGGGAAGGAGGGAAGGGGCAAGGGAAAGTGGTGAGGGGTAGGCAGAGACAAATGTATTTGAAAAAAATAAATTAAAATAAAAAAAAAGAATCTGTAACAGCAATGAGTTGAGCCTGATTTGCAAATTAATGTCAGACCTCTGATACTTTGATATATTTTACATTTTATTTTCCTATTTTCTGCTCTAATTTCTACTATACTGTAAATTATATTAAAAATAACATATTTTTTTCTTTGAGTGGAAAACATTGTCTTTTTAAAATAAAATCTAAAAGCGTGGTATAAAACAGAAAAGACTATTGGAAAAGAAATAAATGAAGGTAAAATAAAATCTTTTTTGATTTTTAATGGAGCTCATAGATAACTCTTCATTGAAAATAATACTAGCAACAATGTTTTGGGAGATTGTTGAAAGGGACAGAGGGAGAAGTTGAGAATACTCCAGGTACCTACACTACCTATGAAGTGGTGTAGTTATTTGTCATCAGAAAGGGCTTTCTTGACAACCCTATATAAAGTATTACCCCCTTGCTTATCCCTGGCCTTTTTCTGTTACTCTGATTCTTTCCTTTATACAGCTTTTACCATCTTCTGACATGTTACTTACTATTTTCTGACATGTTATATGCTTACTTATTGGCTTGTGTATCTTTCCATCAGGGTTCTACTTTAGAATATAGACTCTATGAAGGCAGGGGGGCACTTTGCTCCTTGTGGCATGCCGTAGATGTTCAGTGATGTTTATTAAATGTGTAAATAAATGAAGAATGAATGAATTTTCTCAAACTAATCAGTATTCAGCTGTTGGGACTGAGGATGTGCATATGAATCACATGACTTCCAAATATTGAGAAAATACGTATTTTTTTCAAGGTAGGAGTAGCTAATGAGTAGGCAATATTTACAAATAGTTTACAGAAGAGAAAATATAAATAGCCAATAAACATGTGAAAAGATAATCAGGGAAATGAAATTAATCATCGGTGATAATCTATTTGTTATCGTATTGACAGAAATAGAAAAGTGTGATAATATCCAGTGCTGAATAGGATGAGGGGAAATGGGCATTCTCACATGTTGTTGATGGGAGATTGAATTGCTACAATTTTTTAAAAAGTTATTAGATAGTGTCTATTAAATTAAAATGTATACTTTTTTTTTTTTTTACCACACAGTTCACTTTTGGGAACCAAACTTAAAGTAATGAAAGCAACAATAAAAAAGGATAGTTATTTCAGCATTTTTATGGTAATGAAAAATTGCAAATAATTTGAGTGCCCATTAATAAGAATAAGCTTAAAAATAATTGTAGAATACCCAACTATTATATATGCAGTTATTAACAGAATGCATTTTATCTAAATTTAAAGGCATGTCTATGTAGTGTTGTGAAAGCAGTTGCAAGTAATTTAAATAGCATAATCTCATTTTTCTAGTAAATATGGAGTATGCATATATATTCAATATACATATATGTTTATGTTTGAATAAACATAAAGAAATATATGAAAAATACATGGTGGCTATTAACTTTGCTTACCTCAGGGAGGTGGGAATGGAAAATTTGGTTTTATTAACTTTTTAAAATAATCTCTATATTATTTTACTAGTTATAATGAATATTATTTTGCTTATTTTTAAAATTAATAAAATAAATTTTAAAAGGAAAATAATCCAGGGATCAGAATATAGTAAGATAAGCATGACCATCACAGTGAGGTAGCAGTTAAGCAAATGAACAAGCATGATTAAACATAAATAAAAATATTGTATGAAAAAGAATCAATGACCAAATCTTCCCATTGTGATATTTTGTGAAAGCACAGATTATTCTCTAGAAATAGTGCCCAGTTCCAGACTCTACAGTTTCAGAGGAGTGTCAAGAACTCAGAGGAGAGAGCTGCATGTGTTATAAAATTATGGACTCCTAGACATACAGAATGAGGATAATGATAGATCTGAAGAATATGACATCTAGAATAAGGCTAATACTACCTACTACTAACTGAATACTTATTGTATGTCCATAATAGTAGGATGTTTTGGCTGCAGTGTCTTAAGCAATGAAAACAGTTATTTATTTCATGTAATAAGTGTGAGGTTTCAAAGTATAGGACTATCATAGCAGTAAAATTATGTCATGATATCATTAAAGTCTTAGACTTTTTCTATCTTTTTGCTCTATTATTGTCATTATTTATTGAACATTTATTAATTTGACATATATTTATGGAGTACTTGGTATGTGCCAGGAACAGTTCTAGTTGTTTTGAATTTTTAGTTACCTTTTAATTTTTGTATATATTGCCTCATGATTATAAGGTGGTTCAGGCATCACAACCACACCACTCCAAGCCTCATAGCCACATTTAAAAGTAGAAAGTTGGGAGGTGCAGTGACAAAAGATCTTTTATTCAGAAAGTTGTGTCCTTTTATTAGGGGAGGAAAACTTTCTCAGAAGCACCTATAAAGTAGAATAAAATGAAAGAAATGGAAAGTAGAAGGAAAAAAAGCATTTTAGAGAATCATTTTAGTTTCAACATCTGATAAATAGGCATTGCAGAAAAGGAGAAGGGAAAAATGGAGTAGGGTAGAAAAAGAAATAATGCAAGAGAAGTGACCAGAACACAAGGTCATGGCTTTTCAGGTTGAGAGAGCATCCAGGTACCCAGGTAAATGGAGGAATAAAGGTCCACACCAAGGTACATTATTGTAAAATTTAAACAATGGTGGTAGAGATAAGATCCCAAAAAATTTTGAGGAGAAATGACTTCAACCCAGAATTCTATACCCAATTGAACTATCAATTGAATGTCATGAGAGAGATAACCTTTACAGATATGCCACAACTAAAATTTACTTCTCATGCATCCTTTTTGTTAAAGAAGTTACTTGAGAATGTGCTCCAATAAAATGACTTAAGTAAAACAAGAAAAAGAAAAGCATGGGACCCAACACAAGAAAGCATGAATGCATATACCAAGGTGACTATTATTTAAGGCATAGAGAGCAATCAGTCTGAATTTGAATGGAAATACCAGATTTCTGTATTAGGATTCTCCAGAGAAACAAAACTAATGGGACGTGTATATATACAGAAAGAGATTTATTGTAAGGAATTAGCTCATGAGATTGTAGACACTGACAAGTCAAAGATCTGCAGGGTAGGCTGGCAGGTTGAAAACTCAAAAAGGCTGATGTTACCATTCAGGTCTGAAGGCTGTTTGCTGGAGAATCCTCCCTTACTCAGAGGAGGGTGGGTCCTTTTATTCTATTCAGGTCTTCATATAATTGCACATTATGGAGTCATTTCTACTCAAAGTCCACCAATTTAAATGCTAATCTTATCCCAAAACACCCTCACAGAAACATGCAGAATAATGTTTGACCCAACTATCTGGGCACTGTGGTCTAGCCAGGCGAACACATAAAATCAACCATTACAGTTGCCAAGAAAAATTATTACCTTATATATTTGACAATTTGGAAAATAATTCAGTAGGTAAAAATATGGAGTAAGTGATTTTAAGTCCATAAAAGAGAAAGTAAATTATTATAAACAAGGCTTTTAATAAGGAAAAAAAAATTGAAAGAAATGACATGTACGAGGATCTGTCCAGAAGATATCCAGTGATATAATATGAAATATAGAGATATTTCTTGAAGAAGATACAAGAAACATTGTACATAGGATAATGATGCCTCAGTCCCCTTCAAAGTGGGCACCTTGAAGCCTCACACAGTTCTAATCACCATCAGCTGCCTGGTTGTATTTTCCTGAATCTCATTGATGGTTTGAAATCTCTTCCCTTTAAAAGAAGATTTTAGTTTTGGGAAAAGCCAGAAGACACAGGGTGCCAAATATGGGCTGTAGCGGGGCTGAGTCACCTGGGTGATTTGATGTTTAGCCTAAATCTCTGCACCAAACATGATGCATGAGCAGACTCACAGTCATGATGAAGCTGCCAATCACCAGTTGCCATAGCTGCAGCCTTCTGAATCATCTGAATAGTTTCTGTGGAGAAGCGTTCAAGCTTAACACAAAATTTGATGCAGATTTGTTGCTCTACTCACTCAGTCATTGTGAATGTAAAGGCCACACAGTATACATAGTCAGTGACATCTATACCGCATCCACTGACTAGTACAGTACAGTACTAGTACTAGTACAGTAAAGTTGTCATTGTTCACACATGTGCATTCCAGTCCACTCTCCTTGGCTGCCAGGTTACATCAATGTGCAAACCGTTCTTTTTTTTTTTTTTTTTTTTTTTAAGCTCAAAGGGTACTTGTTATTTGAGGTGAGGACGAGTCTGGCTGAAAGGATTACAGTTCCAAGCAGCCAAAACCTAACTGTTAGTGCACTATTTTTTCAACTTAGGGAAGGATATTGAGATTGTACTTTCTCGCTGGACAAGGAGGGCAAAGGAAACTGAAAGAGACCTCTACTCAAATTGTTTTTCGGACCCAAGGCCAGCTGGCGAGGCCCTCACTGGTTCGTCTGCGGGTGGCTGCCCCCAACGCTGAGGGACGCGGGCTACGCTACACTACATACAGGAAGAACAAGGCAGAAGGGATAGCTGCAGCTCGTTGGGGAAGGGCAGGCACCCACAGCTTCAAAACTCTTCATGGAAGGGATAATTCTTGTGGTAGACACAGCTCACCAAGGAACAGACCCTCCAGTTCCTGTTGTAGCCGAGTAACGTGGTCATATCCTCAGTGCTCAGTTCAAAGTCGAAGACCTGGAAGTTCTCGGCGATGCGTTCCGGAGTCACAGACTTGGGGATCACGACCAAATTCCTCTGCATGGGGAACCGGATCAGAACCTGGGCTGTGGTTTTATTGTACTTATCAGCTATGGCTTTGATCCTGGGATCCTCCAGTAGGGAAGGGTCCTCAGGCTTGGCCCAGGGCCTGTCAGGAGAGCCGAGGGGACTGTAGGCGGTCACCGCAATGCCTTTGGACTGGCAATACTGGATTAACTTCTCCTGAGTGAGGTACGGGTGGCACTCAATCTGGTTAACCGCCGGCTTATATTTTAAGCCAGGTTTGTTTAAGAGCCTCTCAATTTGGAGGTGGTTGAAGTTGGAAATTCCGATATTTTTCACCAGCCCTTCATCCACCAGCTCTTCCATGACCTCCCACGTGTCCAGAAAGTCAGTGTCAGAGGAAATCACGTTGCCTTTCGCATCCAACGGGAAAAAATGGTCCCCAGACTTGAAACTGATGGGCCAATGAATAAGGTAGAGGTCCAGATAGTCCAGCTTCAGGTCGCTGAGCGTCCTCTGGCAGGCTCCTTTCACCAGGTTTTTCTCGTGGTACGTGAACCACAGCTTGCTGATGATGAAGAGGTCCTCACGCTTCACCACCTGCTCCTTGATCTTCTCCTGGATGGCCATGCCCACCTCGTTCTCGTTCTGGTACATGTGGGCACAGTCAATGTGGCGGTACCCGAGGTCGATCGCCAACTTCACAGCCTCCATCACTTTGCCTGGAGGGGTCTTTCAGGTGCCCAGGCCCAGGAGGGGCATCTTAGCGCCGTTGGAGAGCACGACGTGGCTAGCCATGACTGCTGTGCTCCACAAACCCAGACCCAAAGATCTTATCTCCGTTCTTGTTATATTAACAATGGCTGGACTTTTACTGACAGACCTCATCTTATTTATAGTAAACTCCTTGTCTCATTCATGAACAAAAGTTACTTTGTGTGATGATGTAAACCAAGAGCTGTTATATAATTATTTTGGGAGGATGGAGAGATGATTTTAAAGAATTAAATCCCTCCTGCCAAAACAAGAAGATAATAGAAAATGTTTAAAATTTTTAAATTGAAAAAGGTACTAAGTCTCCTAGAAGTCTTATGGTTAAGATCCTTCCTATGGTACCTTTCTGCCAAATCAGTTTTCTCATACAGAATGAAACGCAAACTAAAATTGATTTTGTGCCATAACTTGGGAATTTGTTATTTGGACTGCTGGTCACCACCTTGAGTCTCAGTTCTATGGCCATTGACCCCTAATTCTGCTTGATTTATTAATATTTTCTAACCATCACAACCTTTCATTCAGGGGATCACAGACAATTATTCTTGGATATGGATTTGCCTTAAATGAGAATGGGGATGCAAACCAGACTTTCCACATAGTTTGCAACCTTTTTAGGGCTTTCAGAAGAAGTGGGTACTTTTCCAAGCAAAGAGAAACAGAAGAGAGTGTGCTGAGGAAAGACGAGAAGTTTGTATTAAATAATTAACCTTTGTAAAATCAATCTCTTCATCTGGAATATAGATATAAAGTTTATCTTAAAAGTTTGGGGGTTGATATTTAGTAAAGTAAAATTGCTGTGATGTGCTATTTGAATTAGGTTAATAATAGCAAAACTCTACATAGAGTATACAAAATTCATTCATTTCATTACCATTTATATTAAATATATGATCCAAAATATTTTTATAAAAAACTTTAAAAAGTTTGTGTGTATGGTAAAAAAATATTAGGGCAATTAAATTATTTTTCACTATTAATTTTCTAAGACTAAAATTTTGATTTAAGTGCTACACAGTTAGGAAAAAAATATGCAATTGTCTTCTGTTTCTATTGATTTAATCATAAGATAGAATCTTTTAAAAAATATATTACTGATTTTGAAATAAAAATGCTTTTTCTTCATAAAAAAAGAAAAAGCAGTTTATTTGCAATGCTTAAAATGTATGTCTAAGCACATTAGTCAGAAGTATGCAGTTAACTACCAAAAGAAACATTGAAAAGACTTAAAAGTGATTGTTTTGGGTGATGTGAGAGAGATAGGGAAGGTTGTAGGAGGGACCTATTGTTTTAGAGCATACGCTTTTTAGTAAAATTTTATTTCTTACCTTTGGAAGGCATTACTTTAACAAAAAATAAAATTAATATAAAATGAAAAGCAAAGTCTGTACAAGATGACCTGGCAATACTTTCAGTGATTTTCATAAGTAAGTGAAAATATGTATATTCTTAGGGCCTAGTAGAAATCAGATCCTGGGGAGGGAAAAAGATTGAGGTAAATAACACTAGCTCTAAAAGAAATATAAAGATTTCTGATTTTTTTTTGTGACTGAATTTCATGGGATTCTCTGAGTATAGGCATTCTTAAGATGTCTCCTGTAAAATGCTTTAATTTTCTCAAAAGTAAGTGTAAAAGTAGTACTTAGGATGCACAAATGACTTAAAATGCAGGATTTTCAATAGATGTGTTAAAGGGCACTATAAATTCAAAAATTCTGCTGCTGAATGATTTCTATAAATTATATCAGAAGCTGATTATTAACCTATATGCTAGTCACTTATTTAGGATAGCATTTATACATAGTGAGAACAAAATTGTAATATTAAGACATTCTGATACTGTAGGTCATCTTTATGTACAATCCTAGTCCCCCTGGAAAACTGAGATAATACTTCCACTACTTTTAGATTGTATTTTGTGGCATTTGAATGACCCTTCATTTGAATATGTCTGATGCATTTTTCAATGCATCTGTTGGAATGGAATGACTTGTGATGATTGTGGAATATATGCTCATGGAATCCAGATGCCATGATTCTTTTGTTTTACTCTTTAAATCTTAGCACCCATGCCTTGGACATTCGGATATTGCTTTGATAAACTGTTCTTAGCTCATTTTAGGATTTTTAGTTTGCTTAAGGACACCACAAAATAGTTATAAGTAGTACATGAGCACTCCTTGTGTAGCTATATAGTGGTAGGATATTAGTTGTTGTGGGTACAATTTTGTTTGTGAAATAGTAATTACAAATAGATCAAAAACAAGTTTGCTAATTGCAGGACACATGTTATTTAAGATTCCAATTGTTCATCTTGGTTGAAAAAAATTTAGATTGCATGCTTTTCCAAATATAGGCACACAGATGAAAGCAGAATAAGAAAGTTCACATTTCAGGTGCTCAGGTTTGTCAAATGATAAAAGAGAAATAGTATTACAAATTTTAAAAAAGATTTTATTTATTTATTTTTAGGAAAGGGGAAGGGAGGGAGAAAGAGAGGGAGAGAAACATCAATTGAGAGAGAAACATCGATCAGTTGCCTCTCATACTCTTTGGACCAGTGAATGAACTTGCAACCCAGGAATGTGCCCTGACTGGGAATGGAACCTGCAGCCTTTCTCTTTGTGGGATGCTGCCCAACCAACTGAGCCACACAGGTCAGGGTGAAATAGTATTTTTAATAACTATGCAGAAGTGACTTATGAAGCAGCGGGAATTATATTAAAAATAAGAACAAGTCCACAAAATTGTGATAGTTATGACTAAGGTGGCTCAAGTAAAATTAAGGCTAAAAGGTTAATGAATTTAAATAAAATGAGCAGGCCCTATCCATATACTCCCAGATCAAACCAATGTGGCCCCATTTCAGGAAAAGTGGGTTGGTACTTCATTTTTATATTTCTATATTGAAAAGTTATAGAATTACTCAAATTATGGGTCAAAAGATTAAAAATTAAAAGTAACAATTATATCTGAGTATCTAACCCCCCCACAGTTTTATTGATATTAAATATAATTTCTTGATTTCGGTGAAAACTGAAGAGTTTTGCACTTAAGAATTTTTCACTGCTGAAGATTACAGTATATTCTACTTCCTGTCATTCAGAAATACTTGCAATTTTCTCCGTCATTATAGCCAAACAGATAATGTATACTCATAATAAAGTATCAGTGATAAAATTAAATCTCTCATTGGCTTTGTAAAATTGTTTCTTATACATTAATGGATAAAATGTTATTTTGAAAAACTACTTAAGAAAGAGAATGGGAGCAAAAACATTGGCCTCTCACTCATAAAACAAAATATATAAGAGATTTTGCATTGGTATCGATTTTGAAAATTCCAGATTTCTCCCTGTTGTATAGTATGTTAAACCTGAGTTATAAGGGTAGGGTAATAGAAGTGTGTTGATTTTAACAGTTTTCTAACTAACATAATACCAAGGACCCAAATGTAGCTGGTTTAAGGCAGTTTCTTTGTTCCTTGTGTTTAAAGTGTCATGCTCCTAATATAAATTGTAATGTTCATGTAAATAATCAATTATATTTTAAAAACTTTTTTAATTGACTGAAGTAAACTACATGAATATATTTTATACTTTATTATAACCTGAGAGATAATTGAAGCTTCACAGTAAAATATGTTCATTTTCAATAATAATATTCATATAAATGCCTATGGATTATTGAATATGTAATAAAATTCTAAGGATAAGTAATTATCTTCTGTTGCATTTTTCATATTAAACAAAATTTTAATTTAAAAAATGTAAATGGCTTAATGCATTCAGGAATTTTTCCTGATTAGACATTTTTGCTCAGTTTGTGCCAATCCAGGTACTGTTACATATTGTATTTGTTGCAATATTGTACCTTTCTCCACTCTTTGTTTCAAAAATATCTTTTCCATTTTGATTATATCAGGAATAAATTTAGAATATATCAGGAGTAAATTTAGAAAATAATTCCATCTGGGCAATATAAATACCGTAATTCTGTTTCTTATTAAGATATGTTTATTCTCTGCTCAATAAGAACAAGAAACAACATGACAGTAACCAAAATTAGAATTTATCTTGTATGTGTAGTGCAGGGGTCCTCCACGCTGAGGACCAGTACCCTTCAGGGCCTGTTAGGAATGCCGTCTCCCCTCCCCCTCACCGAACAGCAGGAAGTGAGCTTGAATGTAATGTGCTTGAATCATCTTGAAACCATCCCTCCAACCCCTGTCAGTGGAAAAATTATCTTCCATGAACCAGGTCCCTCGTGCCAAAAATGTTGGGGACCACTGCTGTAGTGGATACCAATCCATAGTTACTGAGATGTAGGCAGGAGATAAATGCTTCATGAAGAAGATTCATTATTAAGATTCACTTTCAGAAAATAAAAGCCCCCAAATATTTAACAAACACTTTTAAAGTGCCTAGTACGGTTCATGGTTCAAGAAATAATAGTACCAAAAACAAACACCAGTTATATTTTAACTGGTTTCTTTTGTAGTATAGGCCCATAGTTGTGACATATAACTTTTAAAATATTTATTTGACATTTTTCAATATAATACTAGTGAGTTACTACTGGATAATATTATTTCCTTGCAGGGTCACATGATTTGCAATTTTGTCATATTCTTACAATGGTAATTTAGTGGTTAATGTGGTTGGTCTTCAACTGTGTAGACAGCTAACACCTGGCTTACTCAGACTATACTGTCACACCAAGTAAAACTTGGTAGGATAGATTGTCTAATACACAGATCTTATGCTGTTATTATAGTGTTAAGAAGTCCTTGTTATTATGAATGTGCATTATGCGTATATTGTACACAGTCCTGGTATGCAAATAGATAGCATTCAGAGAAGTGAAATAATTCTGTGTTATTATTATCTTTGTAAATTACATCTGAGGAGTTTTTGAGGACTTTATGATGGCAGTTTTTTTTATAGTCACAGTCATACAGTATGTGCAGCACAAAATGTTTTCTTTCACTATTAACAATAACTAAGCCAATGAAAATGCTTTTTAAATATACACCCGGCAAGCAGTTATCTGGCTCTTCCTT